AAAAAATCTACATGAAAGCATTTCAAATGCAAGCTTCTATCCGGTAATTTTGACCCATTTTTTCTTATTTCATATGCAATACTAATAGTACTAAAAAATAAAAAGGTTGGGAGGGGGGCCATGGCCCCCTACCCAAACACACACTTCCGTCCCTGATGACATGTGCCTCAAGGAGTGGGGGACTGGAGGACTATATTGGCCTCCACGGGCCGCAAAAAGATCCCAAGATAAACAAGTTCAAAAAGCGCAAATGACCACAAGCCATGGACGCCCTCAACCATTGTGATCCACCGTCGGCCAAAATGACAAGGACACCACAGACGTCCACCTTCGGCCAAAATCAAAAGCGCAAAGCAGACATCGTCCTCAAAGCCAATGACAATGGTATCCCAACGACCACAATCATGTGGTCACCCTTCGGTCAAGCCGAAGCGCGGGGCAGGACGCACATCATCCTAAAAATCACGGACACGTATCCTTCTCGAAATGAAGGACGTTCCTCGTCCTCGAAATGAAGGACATTCATCGTCCTCGAAATGAAGGACATTCCTTGTCCTCGAAATGAATGTCATTCATCGTCCTCAAATTGAAGGATGTTCCTCGTCCTCGAAATGAAGGATGTCCATCTTCCTCGAAATGAAGGACGCTCACCATCCTCGAAATGAAGGACAAAAGGCAGCCAACAATTATGGCACCACCTCGGCCAGAAACGCCAGATTCTCACATGCAATCTTCCGAAGGCCAAGAAAGCATCAAGACAACAAGGATCTACTCCCTTTCACTTCGCCTGCATCTCAGCTCAGAGAGTGGGGGACTCCTGATGGAGTATATGGCCCAAGAACCCCCAGCCCACATACTCTCACTACTACGAACAGGCCCAACAGGACCAAGTAGCCCAAACACATGCATGACCTTGGGGACGTACGACCTTCGCCACATGGAGGATCCCAGGGTACGTACGTCTCTGGCACATGAAGCCCCCAGGGGACGTACGTCTCTGGCACATGTAGCCCCCAGGGGACGTACGTCCTCCAGCACATGAAGCCCCAGGGGACGTTCGTCTTCTAGCACATTGAAGCCCCGAGGGGACGTACGTCCTCCAGCACATGAAGCCCCAGGGGATGTTCGTCCTCTAGCATATGGAAGCCCCCAGGGGACGTACGTCCTCCAACACATGAAGCCCTAGGGGACGTTCATCCTCCAGCACATGGAAACCCCCAGGGGACGTTCTTCCTCCAGCCCATGAACCCCAAGGGACGTACGTCCTCCAGCACGTGGAAGGCCCCAAGGACGTACGTCCTCCATCACATGAAGGCTCCAGGGGACGTACGTCCTCCAACACATTAAAGTCATCCGGGGTACGTACAACCTCCAACACATGGCGGTATCCAGCTATGTACGTCCCCAGCACAGCAACAAGGCCCAAATAGCCCCTGGGTACGTACGGCCTTCGGCACTCACCTCGACAGGATCTCCTCTCCACATGGTCTGAATCGTCGCATTAAATGCGGTGTCACGTCCAACCACCGCATTAACTGCGGCCACATGCTATCAACCACCGCAGTAACTGCGGCCATTTCAGCCAGAACTTCATAAACTTCAGCAGAATCAATCGATTCAGCCGATTACAACGTTACCGAACGAGCTCACACTCATAGAGTCATAGGGTTGAAAGAATGGTCCCCCTAGGTCGTTGGACTACTTCCGGTCGCCAGTTGCTGACCACAACGGACTGGCCTTGGTTGTGCAAGAGAATTAGAGGCAATTAATTATATGTGCTAAAACACAATAATTCGCTAACCGCTCAACAGACGACTTGAACCCTAATGTGACTAAAAATGGTTCACAACTTCACAAGCGTGTGTATAAATATGTACACAAAAAATTGTGCAAAAAAAGTTTCTTTTTTCATATTAAGATGGTTAGATGAGTTGGGAAGGTTCTCGTGAACGATTGAGTGGCCGCCGGAACGAGTCTTTTCCCATGTGATTAAGAAAAGGGCATTGAGATCCTTCATTAACTTTCTTCCATGACCGGAACCCCTCAACAGTAAAAGTGCTCCCATGACGACCAAATGGCTTATTGAATAGAAAGCATGGTAAACAATAAGCAGCATTCTTGCTGGGTGAAAACTCTAGCCAATCTGGAAATAACTTATATCAAGATGGGAGAAATCGTCGTCCATTCTTATCAACATAATTAGAAGATTTGGGGGGAATGGGTTGATATGGCCCAAATTGAATATAAGCTCGGCGAACCTCTTCTTGTTCATTAGGATTGTAATCCCAAATTAATTTTCGAAGTCCAGGATCACGCTCCAAATTAGAAATATTAAAGTCTCTAATTTCAACTCTAGGGGCCTTAGATGGGCGCTCACCCACTTGTGAAGAAGCAATTTCGGCTACTTCATCATTAAGATCTTGTGACGGTTGTGGCACTAAAGTCGGCGGGTCAATACTTCGTAAAGGTCTCTTGAAATATGAATCAATCCTTTTATTATTCATAACTGAAAATAGAAAAAAGAAAAACTTTAGTGACTTAGTCACTTAGACATTTGAAATAAGTCAAATAATTTCACAATTTCAAAAATAATTTAAATAACCTAATGCAAATAGAAGTGTATATATATATATATGTGTGTGTGTGTGACCACTAATTTCATAAATAACCTAGAAATTGAAGCTGAAGCCTGAAGGGTTACAAAAAATTGCTTACCTGCGATTCTGCGAACCAGTCGGCCAGGACCAGACTTCCGCGGAGCAGTCGAGGAGCGGCGCTGACGCCTGACGCGCTGTGGCGGGCGAGCAGGCAGTCGCGGTCGCGCGGAGCAGCAGAGGGCGGTGCTTGGCGTTGCTTACTTGCTTACGGAGTTCCGGCCATTCCGCAGAGGGAGGGAGGTAGCTGCGCAGCCTGCGCTTCTTCTGACTTCGTTTCTGTTTTGTTCCCCTGCCGATTGGGTTTTTTTCTTCTTGGGCTGCAAGCCTAGAGTGGACTTTATTTGCACCACTGGGCCAATATTTTATTTGCACCGGGCCAGTATTTTATTTGCACTGGGTCAAATCTAAATATTTTTTAAAATTAAAAATTTAATGGCTAATCCTAATTTATATTTTTCCTATAAGGTAATTGAAATTTTTCTATGACCTAAGGGGGCGATTTTGAATATTGTGATCAAGGTAAAATTCAAAAATTACGAGAATACTACATATATATATATACTAAAAAAATCCAAGGGGGCGACCGCCCCCCGCGCCTCCCCTAAATCCATCCCTGAGTGGCCCTACATAGATGAAAGCTTTGTCATTTTTGCAACATATCTGCTCCATCAGGACAACAAATATGTACACAAATTGACCAACTTAACATATGAAACATCGTCAAAAGAAGAGCCACGCGACAGTATTTGGGAAATCCTCTAGGATGGACACGGATTGTTTTGAGATCTTTGGAATGTATGTAGTTAGTAATTTGAACATCTTTTTAGTTTCTGCCTATCCAAGAAAATTAACCACATATTTATTTGTCTTGAATATAGCAATTGTAATATATAGGTTATCCCTACAATGCTCTCTCTCTCTCTCTATATATATATATATATATATATATATATATATAAGATAATTATCACTAATATTACTAAAACAATATATTTTTCCCAATATATGACTTCACTAGTTTTATTCCTAATCTAACATCCTAATGTCATGCTCCATGAGTGGTAACGGCACTATCAATAAGGAATTAGTTACGTGTGGTAACCACCGCATGTATGTGTTTGGTCATATATTACATACAAAAACATGTATAGTCATATTTTAGGAAATGTCTTGAGTTTTAGTAATATTGAGATATTTATCCCTATATATATGTGTATATATATATATATATATATATATATATATATATATATATATATATATATTATAAAAACGAATTAACTCCATCTATCAAAGCATGTTAGATTAATCTGAATGGAGAAATTTATATGAATCTGAATTTGATTAATGTGCAGCCTATTACTCCCTCCGTATTTATTTACTTGTCTCACTTTCCTTTTTGGGATGTATCAAATTAATTGTCTCATTTCCCTTTTTGGAAAGAAACTCACTCAAAAAGCAGTTACAATACCGATACAATACCAAAACCTCTTACTTTTCATATAATCTACATCAATTGTCTTAAACTACGTAAAAAAGCAAACGGATCAATTAAATAGATACGGAGGGACTCCTAAATGTTAAATCAAAGTAAAAGAATTTGTTTTCAGTTTTGAAAGGGTTGTGCGTAATTTTGAAAAGGGTTATGTGTGAGGTTGAAGAGCAACCATTTTGTAACTAGTGGTTGAAGAGCGCAAGGTGCTCATGTTGGCCGTGGCTGAAGATGATCGATGTTCTGGGATCGACATAGAACGATTGTGGCTGCGTCTGAAATTGTTTATAATGAATAAAGTAATGTCATTTTGGGATAGGCACATCGTGTGCATGATGGACCGATCTCAGGGTATAATTTTCGGGTAAAGTGTGACTAATGATGTTTTTAAGATATTATTGCAATAAGACTTGATTTATAAAAATATTAGTAAAACTTACTACTCCGTATAATATAGTACTCCGTATTATGGTTACTTAAATTTAAATATTGAACACAAATTACTATAATTAAAGCTATTATTATAATCACTATATTAAGTAGTCACATTTTTGTAACAAATCTTTATCTTAGTTATAAAAGTGTAACTATTTCTTTAAGTATATCATGACAAAGCTTTAATTTACTTTATCATAGTCGACTATACAAACTTCCAATTTAGGATTTTGTGGGGTATAAATAAAATGTTTCAAAAAGATACAAATCCGCAAAAAAGAATGAGTGCAAGTGATTAACAAATCATTAAAAGATATAAATTCCAGAGTAATTGAAACACGATCGCCATCATTCACTAATCATCATTAATTAACAAATGATTTTGAGTATAATTGTAGCTGAGAGAAAAGATAATTCTTTTATTGGGTTTGTGGGGTGTAATATCTGCTCCGCCGGTGGAAGTGGTCTCAGCTCTCAAAGTAGAATATGAGTTGAGCTGCTCAGCAACATTAGTTATGATGATCTGTTTGTTATTCAACAACCCTTTGTAACTGTGGATGTATTTTGGGGCCTAAAAGGCCAAAACCCTCCCAAAGACTAAAACCGCGTGATTCCAGCCTTTTAGCCAACCCACAAAGGTGCTGAGAATGGAAAATCGTTCTGCACCTTTCCTTTCAAGAAAATGCCTCAAGAAACCAATAAAGAATAGAAATCACTTTCCTTTCTCGCCCCCACAGCCCCCTCTAATAGCCAGTTCTTGATCTGAACCATTGGATTCCTATTCCCCTCTCCAAAACCCCATCTTTGACCATTCTTTTAATTATATGTCTCATCCGTCAACGCTGGACACTGAAAGGAATAGAACTGCAGATGAGACAGAAGAGATAGAGAAGGAGAAGAGTCGTGCTACTACTTTTCAAGAACAGCAAGAAACCACCATCTCTGAGCTTCTGATTCATTCCCATTCTGCAAAGGTATAGTTTTGTCTCTATACCAAGAATCCCTAATTTTGTCTCTTATATACATAAACCAAAACACTTGCAGCCACGTTCGCCGCATCTGGGTGGCGTATATACCCATTCTTATCTACGTATACAGACACACGCACTTGCATATGAATGTGAGGGAAGGAGTGGGGATTTGAAGGTGGGGACGAAAATGGTGCGGCAACAGTGGAGAGTGGTTTGGGTCATAATGTTTCTGTTGCTGGTTGACTCTACATTCGAACAGTCGTTGAGTTCAAGAAATGAGAAATTGGCTTTGCTGCAGTTGAGAACATCTCTAGGGCTGCGGGCTAAAGAGTGGCCTATAAAGCTTGACCCTTGCTCGGGATGGGTTGGTGTTCATTGTTCGAGTGGTAGGGTAGTGGGGATCAATATCAGCAGGTTTAAGCGCACACGAATTGGAAGTCAAAACCCTCAATTCTCAGTGGATGCCCTACAGAATTTAACTAGATTGACAACTTTTAATGCCTCTTTTTTCTTGCTTCCTGGCTCTGTCCCAGAATGGTTTGGCCTTAGAATGACTTCTCTTCAAGTTCTTGATCTCACCTCCTGTTCAGTCACAGGTTCTTTGCCGGCCTCTCTGGGAAACTTGAGTAGTTTAACTGAGATTCATTTGTCACGGAATGGACTTACCGGGATGGTTCCTACTAGTTTGGTTCAACTACCCAACCTTTCTGTTCTTGATTTATCACAGAATGCACTTAATGGGGTCATTCCCCCTGCCATTGGAAGTTTGTCAAAGTTGAGATTCTTGAATCTTTCTGGAAACAGTTTGTCTTCTTCAATACCGTCCGATATCAGCAATCTTTCTAGTCTCACTGTCCTTGACCTCAGCTTCAATACACTCTCTGGGATTTTGCCTGCTAATTTATTTCTTCCTTTAACTAAGTTGAAGTCCTTGTCAATGGATCATAATAATTTTACTGGTCCCTTTCCTGCTGCATTGTGGTCAATGCCCGCATTGCAATTCCTTGATGCCTCTGCAAATAGATTCACGGGAAGTCTGCCTAACCTCACTTTGACTGCCACTGCTTCCACTGCATTTTTTAACCTTTCACAGAATGAGTTTTATGGATACCTCTCCACTGTGGTTCGCGGATTTAGTTTTATCGATCTGTCGAGTAACTATTTCGAAGGCAAAGTTCCTAGCTTTGTGCATGGAAATGTGTCTATAAGCAGAAACTGCCTCCAAAATGTGAAAAGTCAAAGGGGTGGAAGTGAATGTGGTTCGTTTTACAAGGCAAGGGGACTGATGTTTGATTCTGGGCAGTCAAACACCACCCAACCTCTCCCTCCTCCTCCTCCTCCTCCTCCACCACCACGATCCAATAAGAGCCACAGAAAAACAATTATATTGGCATCTGTATTAGGCGGCGTTGGATTGTTGATAGCCCTGATTTTGATTTTTTCCTCGGTGCTGTTAATATGCAAACGGAAGAGCACGGCTACTCAAAGAGGTACGGGGGTGGGACCCGTTCCTACAGGATCAACTCCTCCCCCTCCTTCTGGATTGTCATTGAACCTTTCAAGTTTAGGAGATGCATTTACTTATCAGCAGATTCTTCAAGCCACCTCAGATTTCAAAGTTGAAAACTTAATGAAGAATGGACATTCCGGTGATCTTTTCAGAGGTTTGTTAGAAGGTGGGGTCCCTGTGGTCATAAAAAGAATTGATTTGGAGTCGGTGAAGAAGGAGGCGTACTTGGTGGAGCTGGGCTTCTTCAGCAAAGTCTCTCACGCAAGGATAGTTCCTCTTTTGGGGCATTGCTTGGAGAATGAGAACCAGAAGTTTTTGGTTTACAAGTACATGCCAAATGGAGATCTCTCAAGCTCTTTGTTTAAGAAAAATGATTCTGATGATGGCAGTTTACAGTCATTAGATTGGATAACACGGCTGAAAATTGCAATTGGAGCTGCCGAGGCTCTATCTTATCTTCACCATGAATCTACTCCTCCCCTTGTGCACAGGTATTTAAAAAAAACTTCCAAGTGCCATCTTGTCTCGCACTTCATGGAAGCTTGATTTTGCATAATATACCTAATACTATTGTATGAGACTGGCCTGTGTTCTGATTTACTGCTCGTTATTTGCTTAGTTCTTGTTCACATGGCTTAAATGTCCTTTCATTTCTGCTTTTTAGTAAATGACTAAGGGCTTGTTTGGGATCTGTAAAATACTACAAAAATAATTAAGGATGGAAAAGAGAGATGAAATCTCGAAGGAAAGATTTTTTTGGGAAAAAATAAATTTCCTTAACATCCTCTCTTCCATTAGTATTGTCCATTGTCCATTAGTACTGTAAATGTATGGAACTTTTCAAACACCACCTTTAACATGAATATTATTTAGTGATAAAATTCAATATGACCTTTGAGTTGATTTTGATGTCTTCACATACAAAGTTGCTTCGATATTTATGCATAAAAGATGCTGGGAGATCCTTTAGCCTTTTATGAGGGGTCTTAGGCCACCTTAACAATCTATCATGACCTTTTATTAATTTGCTTGGCCACCTTAAGATTTTTTTCATGATAGAACATTGTTAGTAATTTGTTGCATAAAACCATCTGTCTTAGCTGAAATAAGTTTAGTTTCATAAGATTCCCTCTCAAGAGGTCAGCTTTTACTTTTTACCATTGCCAATATTTGACATACCTTTATTTCCTTTTTCCTTTATAGCTTTATTAAGTTCCCTGTGCTTATATAAAATTGAAAGTGCAGCCCTTAACAAAGCAAAAAGAAACAAAACTAAAAAATAAATATATATGTTCTAATGTCATGTGGTAAAAGGAATGAACTGAAAAAGCTAGGAGGTCATTTAAATGACTGGCTTTGTTTTTCTATGTTTGCACAGAGATGTTCAATCCAGTAGCATACTGCTGGACGATAAATTTGAAGTGAGATTAGGGAGCCTGAGTGAAGTTTGTGCACAAGAAGTAGATACTCATCAAAATAGAATTTCCAGATTGCTACGATTCCAACAGTAAGTAATATCACTTCCTTCTTCTTCTTGTTGCTTTGGGGGAGTCCAGTTATGGGTGCTCAAGGAAACGGAATATTTTTTGCTACTATGTTTTACTCTTTTGTTGCTACATTGGTTTTTGTGGATGGCCTTAAAATTCTTTTTTGGTGGATTGGTCTTTTAGTGCTCAGTAAATAATACTACGTACATAGGAAGAAAGTAATATCTAATGCTCAAAATATATTCCTTTTTGCTAAGGACAATGTGGTATATATTCAAAGAAAGAAACAATATTCTTATTCTTAATTATCCTCTCTTTCATCAAAGATAAAAACTGTAATTTTGCTATTTAGTCACTGATGATTACCTTTATTTTAGAGCCCCAAATCAAATTATTAGACTCTTTTTGCTTTGAGCATGTGTTTTAGGGTAAGCAAAATAAATGTAATGCACTTTACAAAATTCTCTCTCAAGTGGGGTCATCTGCAAAATCTTTTTAACTAGGTAAGGGACAAGTAGTAAAAAATATTGGTTTTCATTAGGGAAAATAGATATCATTACGGACGAACTATTGTTCTTAGTCTCAATTAGTCAATTATTCTCTCCTTGTGTCAAAGGAAACATAGTTGTAATGTCCTCCTTTTTGGTTTAAATCTTTTCAACTGGATTAGTGATCAAGCTCAGTTATAGGAACTTCATAAGTTTGTCTGCAACTTAAGTTCCATGTGATTAATGCTATATTGTTACATATTTGTTCATGTGATTTTAAAACAGAAAGTAAAATAAAACAATTTGCATGATTATGAATTTATGATGAACAAGTCAAGATTGCTCTGTACTTTAAAATGTGAAAACTGTTTACATTGAACTGTCTTTTCTATTTTGCTTGCAGAACATCAGATCAAGGCTCGTCAGGTACTCTTCCGTCATAAATCTTAATTTATGTATTTATTTATTTATTTATTTATTTATTTATTACTCAGTCATTTATGTCACACCCCTCTTAATGCACCTTAAACAAATTTCATCAATCGCAGTTGTTATTTCAGTCCAATAAGAATAGAGTTTTTTAAATAGATCTTCACAAAATCATTTGTTTTAGGCTTTTAGTAGTCATCACCTGAGTTTTTTTGCTTAGCCATAATTGTGGCCAATGTTTTAATAGATAAAAAATGACGTTGATGGAGAGGGATTAAAAAGAAAGCAGCGTAAATAAAATCGATGGAAAACAAAAATGCGATTTCATAGGGACCTAAAGCAAAGACGTTTCATTTACAAGGGATGGAAACATAAAGTCGATTTTATTTTCTTTGAACATAATGCATATATATCATACAAGTTCTTTGCAGCAAGTTGGTAAATATTTAACTTAATTTATTTGTACATTTTTCCCTTTCGAAATGAATGATCAGGGTCACATTCCGCCTCATGCACCTATGATGTCTATTGTTTTGGGAAGGTGTTGCTTGAACTAGTGACTGGCAGACTAGGTTTCAGCGGGTCCGATGATGGCAACACGAAGGAGTGGTTGGACCGGACATTGCCATATATCAGCATATACGACAAAGAGTTGGTAACGAAAATTGTGGACCCCTCTCTGATCATAGACGAAGACCTATTGGAGGAAGTGTGGGCCATGGCCATTGTTGCCAGGTCATGCCTCAATCCCAAGCCTACAAGGCGGCCTTTGATGAGATACATTCTTAAAGCTTTGGAAAACCCGTTGAAGGTGGTGAGGGAAGAGCACCACACAGCAGGGTCTGCCAGGCTCAAGGCCACCTCATCAAGAGGTTCGTGGAACGGGGCCCTGTTTGGCAGCTGGCGGCAAAGCTCTTTGGATGTGCACACAACAAATAAGGCGGCAGAAGGGACGAGTAGTTTCAAACGTTCTAGAACTTCAGGCTCGCAAGGGAGCGGACCCAACGGTGGTGGGGAGGGAGGAGGGCATTCGTCGTCGAGTAGGCGGTCGAAGGAGATATTCCCAGAACCATTGGATGATGTGGCAAGACCAACTGAATGAGTGATCTTTGATTTTGATTCATTGATTGTTGTTTATAATAACACAGCAAGCTAGCTCCCCATTCTTGGCAGCTTGGCTTCCATTGGCTACTGTTGGATGTATATTCTACTCTTCATTTTTTTGGAGCTAAATTTCTAGGTTCTTTTTTAATTTAGAAATTGTGAATGAGATGATTGGTTAGTTTAACACCAAAAAGATTGGTTGGATCTGGAAGATTTTTTTTTTGTCCACGGGAAAGAGCAAGGGACAGCAAGAGATTGGCTGGTAAGTAATTATTCCGTCTTGGTTGCACCGGTATTATTATTATTATTATTATTATTATTATTATTATTATTTTATTATTATTATAAATACTATGTGTAGTCATACTAGTAATTTATTAAATAAGTTTTAATTGAGTAATATTTAAAAACTCTAATATTTCTGCTACAATTACTACCATCATCATAAGTAGTAGTAGTAGTAGAAATGGCTTAATAAGCTGTATGTTTTCAATTATTGAAAAACATATTTATAATATATTTTATTATTTGAAATAAAAAAAATATGAAAAAAAGAAAGAATAGTTTTCTTTCATTTAGAAAGAAATGTTTAATTCAGATTACTTCCCCAATGGCCCTATCCCCCACTATTATTCTTTCATATGAAGTACTTTATTTGGAAAGTAAAAAGTAAATTTAATGAAGGACTAATAGAGATGTACTTTAGTAAGTTTTTTTTTTGATGGATTACTTTATCAAAAAAATTCTTTTATTTGGATTGGTGTGTCACTCCCTTCCTTCAAAATAATAGGGACAGAGGGAGTATAATTTAAAACATGAAATTAAATTGTTAGTGTTTTGTACATATAGAAACCAGATTGTTAGTGTGTGCATATATGAAGTACTCCCTTGTGTTCAACTTGGTCTCATTATACCTTTTTGTTCGTCCCATTAAATTTAGGGAGAATTATTAAATAAGCTCTCGAACTTTCATAAAAAGTGCAAATAAGCCCTTTTATAGGATGCTCTATCCGGCCCTTGCCATTTGGGTCGGTTTTCGGTGGAATTTTATGATGAAATTTTCTTCATTAAGTCTAGTTTACTCTTAGCAAATTTAAGCTAAAAAATCAATCGGGAAAACAATCAAATGAATTTTTGAAGATAACTGCGCGCAGCACAATATATTTCAGAAAATCATTTGACTGTTTTCTCGATTGAATTTTTAGCTGAAATTTGGTATGAGTAAACTAGACTTAATGAAGAAGATGTTCAAAAAATTTCATCAAAAAATTCCACCGGAAACCGCCCCAAATGGTGACAGGCGGACAAAGCCTCCTGTAAAAGGGCTTATTTGCACTTTTTATGAAAGTTCAGGGTCTTATTTGATAGTTCTCCCTTAAATTTATCACATAATTTAATAATATTTAAGTGATTACAATTCATTCTTATTTTCATTCACTTTATCAATATAATACCAACAACATAATTCATTTCTCTCAAAATAAGAATGATTACCTTATTCTTATTTTATGATTACTCAAAAAAGTTTTCATGTAATATTTTATAAAGTCGATATGTCAAAAAAGAACATGTAAAATGTACTACCTCCGTCCCTTAAAACTTTGTCAAAGTTGATCGACACGGAGAATAATAAAGTAAAAACAGTGTGGTTGAGGTTTGTGCAGAGGAGAGAAAAATAATAGAAACCACAAAATAATTGATTAAAAAGGAAAGCACAAAGTTTTTTGGGACGTCCAAAAAAGAAAAGATGAGAAAGTTTTAAGGGACGGAGGAAGTATGTCAAAAAAGAACATGTAAAATGTATACAGACTCATATTTATGGAGTTGGAAACATGGAATACATAGAAAAACTCTATTGATGAAATTGATACAAAGAGACTTATTAACTACTTCCTCTGTTTCCTAACAATGAGACAAAAGAGACTGACATACAAAGTAAGGAATGTAATAAAAGTTGATTTATGTGGTCAATATTGAATTGCAAAATAAGAATAAAGTAAGTTCGGGCCGATTCAAAATTAAGTCCACTTTCAAATATTTCCTTATTTGGCAAAAATTATCTACACCAAAACAGTGTTCAAACAGTGCACTCTACAGTAAAGTCAAATTTATTATCTTAATATGTGTGAAGCCAAATGTGAAACTTGTTTCATAAAGGAGAGAGTATGTGACAATATTAGAGGAATGGACCTTTATCTACATTAATTGTCCTTTATTTTTAATTTGATGATGATGAGAGTAATAAAAGTATCTAAATCAAGTTGTCTTGTATCGAGATTCTTGACTTGACATGCGCTTGAGGAATGTAAAAGAGCAAACAGAAAGCGATTCAGTCGGAATGGAGAAAACGGAAGTCGGGACTACATTCTTTTGAAGGGCAAAAGGCCACTTGGCAGAAAAAGAAAAAAGGTCCCACCGAGAATTGAACTCGGGTACTGGATTCAGAGTCCAATGTCCTAACCGCTAGACCATGGGACCATGTTGAGAACTTTGTGTAACGATTATTAAAGAATATTTAATGTATGCCTTTAAGGCAATACTGTTAGCATCGCGACGACCTAGTGCAAGGACGAGTCATGGCTCATGAAATTCCGGCGCCCCCCGCCCAGATTTTCCCCTAATACGATTCCCATTTTAAAATGTTACTCCGTAATACATTTGAATTTGTATCAAAATGTAATACAAAACGGATATTTCTCAAAATAGGAGTAAATGAAATTTGGAATTCCAAAATATGACTACTATATTTTTATTCTCAAAATAGGACTAACATGGCAGAATTTACTGTCATCTTGTAGGCACGACTGTCAAATAGTTGCAGTACAGTGCATTTATCATGACAGTATTAATTATAATTAATGTCAGTATTTTTCAATTATGGCAGTATTTTTCATACATGACAGTAACAACTCCTATTTCGGGGAAAAAACATAGTAGTCCTAGCATATTATTATCTAATAAAGTATCGGTTCTTGTACAAGCATATAACTCCACACTCTGCATCGCTTTCTCTCGCACAAAAAGCCCGTAGAATAAACTAGAAATTAAGTCATAAAAAAGTCTTTTGGACTACCAAGAGTGTAAAATCATATGTATAGTAATATTAATAATAATAGTAATACATATTGTTCTTTTCTTACTAAGCCACATACACACTTTAGGGTATCTTACTATCTCGATAAGTATCACTTATATAGTAGTTATGTATTAATGTGTATTTTTTTATTGAAGAATCACAACCAATAACTTTATGTATTATTATGTATATATGCATATTAGTTTCTATTTTATTTAAAGTGTTATAACTAATCACTTTATGTATTAGTGTCTGTGTATACAAATAAGAAATTTTATACGGATCTGGGTTCTTAACGGGTCAAAATCATATGTGTCATACCAGACCCGTTTATCTAAAATACTAACAGGTCCGGATCCGGGTCCGGATAAATGGAGTAAAATATACTCCCTCCGTCCCCTTTTAAATGTCCCGGAAGAGGGTGGCACGAGTTTTAAGAAAAGTAGATTTGTGTGGTTGATATTAATAGATAAAGTAAGAATAAAGTAAGAATAAAGTAAGAATAAAGTAAGAATGATTTTGAGCCACACAAACTTTACCAAATAAGATATGGAACAATTAAATAGGGACATCCCAATATGGTAAAATGGGACATTTAAAAGGGGACGGAGGGAGTACACACATACCCATTAAAAACAATCGGGTCCACGTCGGGTCCAGGTCTAGCCCCGACCCATTGACACGCCTACTTGAACAAATACAATTTATAAGGGGGTTTGATTATAAAGTTGAAATCTCTAAGACAATATTAGATTGATCAAACAAGTAAAAAAACCAAAACAGTGATCATATCAATTTTTCTTCACATTTCCGAGGTTAAACCAAATATAAGTAAATAACTTTCTTCAGGATTTTCATTTATTTTCCTGGATCCAAGCATAGCCTACAAGAGTTGGGGGATGCAATAGCCAATGGCCCAAAACAGATGGCAATGTAATGCACAGGCCGCTTCCATTTATTTGGCTGAACTGCTGAAGAGTGAAGCAAACCACATTGCTCATACCGGGCCTTCTGTGCCATAACCACTATTAAAAAAACGTCTCACTTGACAAAGAAATAACTATGAGCAATATTTTAATCGAGATTTCGTAACTATGAGCAATATTGTAATCGAGATTTCATAACTATGAGCAATATTATAGCCTTCTTGGTTTTGTCTGCACTTCTCACCAGCCTGCATAACCAACATAAGTTTCTCCAAGTTTAAAAGATTAAAAAGGAGAAAGTATACCCTTAGGCTATGTATGGATCCTGTAAAATGCTAGGAGGAAAATTGTGAGCAGAATTGTTTTCTTAACTTTGGTTTTTACTCAGAAATAGCAAAGGGCAAGATAATACGATTGATTTTTTAAATTTCTTGAGTAAGTTTGGATCTTCTATTATTATATTGTATAAGTAAATAAATACAATGAAATTGAAAAAAAAGTACTCGTAAATTAGTTTTGTATTGAACCCAAGTGGCGGATCTTCTTTGTTCAAGGGTGTTCATGTGAACACCCAAAATTTTGAAAATTATGTGTAAAAATTTTGAAAATTATGTGTAAAAATACATATTTTACACATGATAATTTATATACTACTATTACGGAGTATAATTTTAAGAAATATTTTTTATTTTTTACCCTATTTGCTAGTTTTTTGTTGTTGAAAAAGTTATATTTCTTCAACTGTTGGATCAAGTAATATTATAAGGTAACATCTTGATAGTAAAGTAATTTCAAACATCCAACATTTAGTCAAGATCGGCTACTGATTGAACCAAGTCGTCCTTTTCCTCCATCCAATGTTTCTTTCCCTAGCATTTTCTGAGTTCCAAACGGATCCTTATATTGCTAAGTGATGCATAATGTACATTGTTGTAAGTCACTGACCTTGCCATCGGGGTATAGACATGACTGAATTGGAAGCTTTTTCCATCCTGTGCATCAGATTATTCTGTCAGTAGTAGGCAACATCACCAAAAGAGAGATAAGTGGATCTCAACCATCGGATGGCTTAAATTTACTACGGAGTATTTTAATCAATGGTTTAGATCTTGCTTTAAAAGGATGAACCAAATCTAAGGGAAGCGAGTTAGAGGGAATAACGGTGCCTTTACTTCGAGATGTCCTCAACTGCCTTGACCACTTCCATAGAGCTTGTCTCAAGTACTTGACCCCCCAGTATAATCTCATTTAAGATGGCATTAACCTGGAAAATTTATTCCCAGAGTAGTGGAATATGAGACTAGTCAATGATAAAGATGGCACGGAAAGGTCAATAAACACCAAGGGGCCGTTTGGAACTTAAAAATGCTAAGAAAAGAAAACAGAAAGACAGGAAAATAAGAAGGAACAACATGCGGGGTGGGGTGAAAAAGAAAGGCTAAACTTTAATAAACTTAATTTAGATATTCTTTGATGCTCAACTATCTATTTTTACCTATTATAAGTTACGTAGTATAATTTAGAAATCTGAATATAAAAATACAAAAACAAAGCATAATTTTTTTCTCTGCGCACTGCAAGGTAAAACCATACAGAAAAAAGTTGCATTCCCCCCCTTTCCCTAGCACTTTCAAGGATCCAAATATACCATAAGGAATTTTATTTACTTATTCATTTTTTTGTGTGGAAACTTTTTCCTTGGAAAATATAAAAGAAAACCATATTTGATTCACTTACATTTCTTAATCTTTAAATAGTAGCAATATTTAAGCAAAATGAGTTTAAACAAATATCTTTAGATTTAATTTCATGGGTTTGAACCAATTTTTATTTTTTCACGCATTTTATTTCTTTATAAATTTCCTCTTCATGTTCCTCTTTTTCTTTCCATAGCACTTTCCAAGTTCCAAGCAAACATACAATTTACAAAACCACTATCCGGCAGACTCGCACACAGGGCTTAATTAAGAACTCAAGAAGCATGTGCTCAGTGCTCACCACTTGTTGTGTAATTATGTACATAAGGGAACAATTAATGTCATCAGTTATATATTCATAAAAATACTAACCTTATTAAAATTGAATACTACGTCGAGTTCACATACGTTGCCGAAACACTTGTCGAGTGTCTCCACAAAAACTGGAATTTAAAAATGATACAAAATATCCAATTAGAAAAAACTGCAGTATTGGAAAACTCAGTGCATTGGACTAATACTCCATATTAATTAGCCAGTCTGGGGCTCATAATAAGTACCACATTTCTTCAGATTGAAATGATCTAAATCAACTACTTAATATATGAAAACATTCTAACCTTGCATCAGATCAAGCATCGCAAGCTCGTTCTCTGAGTCATCAAATATGAATATGACATGCAGTGTGGCATAAGTCTTATATACAAGACGAGCATCCTGTAAATGAGAAATATATAGCACGTAATATGAATCTTGCCTTGTTTGTGATTTCCATAAGTAGCCAAAACCAAAAGTAGTTTAAAAAAATAAGCAATACTCATTTCCCTTTTCCTTATCTTTAGTTCTGATAGGAATATGGCTCAGTAGGCTAATAATAAGAAATAATAATAATAGTAAGGGTACATTTAGTAGTATAAATAGAAGGGGAAGGGGAGGAATAAGGGATCTAATAATAAGTAACTAGTGGGCTAGCAGCCTTATTAATCCCTGGGTGGATAATACTACAAATAGAAGGGGGATATCAAAAGAGGGTAGGCTGTTATTTGATTTGGATGTTGCCTTGGAGAGTGGGCTTCTCTAACAGTCCCGGTTGCCTTGTTGCCTACGTTGAGATATTTCTTATCAATAAACATCAATTTCCCTAATTCCTTATCAGATTTGTAGTGCTAGTTTACTGTTTTCATTTGGATTATTGTCAGTTTCTATCAATGGTATCAGAGCAGTGGCTCCTGGGGATCGGAAATTGAACCGCGATTGAAATCTAGTTTGCGTTACAGAGGTGGATGGTCAGAATGAGATCAAAAATGGAAAACCGTGTTGATACGTTGGAACGGGAGATAAGGACGGCAATGGCAAACATCGCGGCTTCTATGGCAGCGATGAATGAACAGATTCAGAGAAACTTCAAGACTTTTATGGCCGCAATGAATGAACAGATTCAGAGCATTCGCGATCAGCCTAGGGGAAGATCACAGCATCATCAGCATTTGTGATCATCGCATTGTCCGGCTTCTAACAGTTCGCAGATACAAACTAAGTCTCCCAGTGCATCGCGAAGTGCGCAGGTTCCATCACGAGCAATTTCTCACAGTTCTCAATCGTGATTCTCCTTTGCAATCGTGAACTACATCATCGTCGCCAATAGCTCTTCCCGGTTCGCAAGCGTCGCCGGGAGCAGATGTCCTCAGTTCACCGGCCCCGTCACGTACAGCCTCTCATAGGTCGCAGAGTTCGACGCTCACATATCATTCCAGTTCGCAGGGGTTTCTCCAAGCAACTTCTCCTAATCCATCAGATTTGCGGCAAACTGACAAAGAAGCTAGCATCTTATCCAGTTCGCAGTCGCCAGTTTCGTCTCTATCAGATTCGCTGAGTTCGCAGGTATCCTCATCCGCTATTAGTTTGCAGGACAAGGCTTTTTCTTTATCAGTTTGTTCTCCGGTTTCCTTGTAAGTTGTTTCTCTGAATCCGGGGCAAGCTACTCCTGGAGCGCCTAAGGGTGAAGGTACCGGTCAACGAAGCACTGAAGCACTTCCACTCAGCCTGAATTTTTTAGCGTTCACTGGTGATTGCAGTGAGGGTGAAAACGAATATGATTTAAAAATACCAGAAGCATCTGGTCTTCTTCCAAATCATTTAGCTAAGGATGCTATTGGTAAACTTATATCATTTAAATGCACTCCAATACTGGATGATGGCGAGATTGGTGAGTCAAAAGTTGGCAAAGGCCAAGAAAGTGGTCGCCCAGGAACTCAGAGATTGCTTCCCTTTCAAATAGTTAATATCCCTTCAGAATCTTCCCATTTACTTTCATTGGCTGATGTTGGCTATTTCATATATGTATCTGGTCAACCTTTTTGTTGTGACTGCGCCCAGGTGCTCTTGTTCTTTCAGAGCAAGTTGGATCTATCTTTCCGGGGCTACCAACTTGCCTTTTGCTCGAATATGATGGATCTTTGACTGAAGGTGAATCTGTTGGTTTTGAGGCTTCTTACACTGGCAGGAAGATGGGAGAATGTTCAGGTGAATGGTCTCAAATAAAGACTGGTGGTGTCAAATATAAAATCAGTTCTAGTTACATTCTGAATTTGACTATTGATGATGTTGAAAACTGCATAGAACTTATTTACACTCTCGTAAGAAAAGATGGGATGAAAGGAAGCCCCGAGAGTATCTTGTCTGGACCAGTAGAGCCTGGGGAACCAAAGGGAGTTGAATTAACATTTCCTGAATGCTATAAAAGCAAGGGTCCTGGACTTGGCTTTGCTAATCTGTTAACGCCATCGCTGGGGTTTCAGCCTATAGGGAAAAGGAAAGAAGAAAACTTCTCAGATTTGGGACTTTGGCGGTTAGAGAATCTGAAATCACAGGGCAGCACTGTTACGCACATTTTCTGTTGGCTGTTGAAGTCTTACAAGACTAATCCTGCTATTACAAATAATTCTATCAATGATACTGTCAAACGTGAACTTGTTGAAGCCATCAGTGACATTTCTCATGAGGACGCAATAGCAAAGCAAAAGGCCAGCATACTTCTGGAAAGACATGTTGAAGTTGTTAAGAAGTCAAGGCTTTCTCCATCATTGCCAGAAATATTGAGTGGGGTAGAACACAGTGTGGCTGGAAGTATATCGATACTTGATATGGAAATTGTTTCTGACCTTGCTATTGAGATGACAAGGAGATTCACATTTAATCCTTTTGTTCTTCCAAGGGATTTTGGAACCCGTAACCGGATTGTTTATTCTGCTCATGGAGGTGAAATTGCAGTTGCCTTTTTGTGTGGTCGGGATCATGTTTTTTCAGGTTCAAGTTTCACCCCTATGGGTTACTACCATATTAATGCTGGGACTGAAAAGGTTGCTTCTGCATTATCTACAACAAGCTGTTGTCTTATCTCTCTTTGGCATGACACTAGCAAAGAATGTTCCATCTGGAAGCTAGTCCGTGGTCTCCCACTCTCTCTTCCAAAAAAACAAGTGAAAGTTAACTGTACGACTTGGGAACGTGAAGTTGCAGAGAGATGTTGGTGGAGTCTTTCAGTGGGAGTTGATTGGAGGGATGTTGTTGTGTGTACCCAAAATGTGGCAGAAGATGGCACTCTTTCACTGGACAGCATCATTGTTGTTATGGATGCAGATCTTGGGAGTAGCTTGGATAAAATTCTAGTAGCAGTTACTGAACCAAACCAACCAGCACTGGAAAAATGGGCTGAGCAGAATGACATAGCTGGAGATGTTGATGCCCTATGTGGGAGTCCAGAGGTGAAGGAAGTAGTGAGGAAGATCCACGCACAGAAGCTAAAAGCCCAGAAATCAGTAAAGTGCTGGGAGGGGAGAGGTACAAGAATGAAGGGGAAGTGGAAGATCATGGCTGATTCCTATCACCCACCTTGAGGACAAGGTGGTTGTTCAGGGGGGGTATTGATAGGAATATGGCTTCGTAGGTTAATAATAAGAAATAATAATAATAGTAAGGGTACATTTAGTAGTATAAATAGAAGGGAAGGGGAGGAATAAGGGATCTAATAATAAGTAACTAGTGGGCTAGTGGCCTTATTAATCCCTGTGTGTATAATACTATAAATAGAAGGGGGATATCAAAAGAGGGTAGGCTGTTATTTGATTTGGTCGTTGCCTTGGAGAGTGGGCTTCTCTAATGGTCCCGGTTGCCTTGTTGCCTACATTGAGATATTTCTTATCAATAAACATCAACTTCCCTAATTCCTTATCAGATTTGTAGTGCTAGTTTACTGTTTTCATTTGGATTATTGCCAGTTTCTATCAAGTTCTTACTTATTTTTCATGGACACCACAAATTTAACATTTCTGGAGATATACTAAGGAAAGGAAATTCAAAGTGGACAAAAAATGAAGTCAATAAAAGAAGTCCTACCGACTCAAATAATGAATCAACCTTGACAAAGTTGCTAACGTTCTCAGGTCTACTACATAGAACTGCAATATGCCATTAATGAATCATCAATAGAATGTATAACCAAAAAATCGTCTTAGATTAGAAAGGGCAGGGGGGGCTAAGCACAATTATTTTCTTATTTTGATACGAATGATAATCCAATGTGATTATCATTTTAAATAAAATAAGTTAGAACACATTTAAAAAAATAATTTATTGAGATTCAACAATCTTTTGTTAAACTTCCCCAAAATTTCTGCACATCCAAAATTTTATCTATTTTTGTTTTTATAGAATTTCTGACATGCAAACTGTCCCTAAAGAAGAAGAGAAAAGAATTTGAACCTCCATATATTTTCCGAATAAGCTCTTGCTGCTTCTCCATGGGCTAACCTCAAAAAAATCAAGCGACGCTCAACACATTGAGGATTAAACAAGAGTCATTTTATTTAGGGTTTATCCTTACTGACCTGGTGCTCGTAGAATCTGACGATACGAGGTTTCCCTTTATTATTCATCACTATCACTGCTCGTATCATATCCTGTCAATTCTCAATTTCACTCAGAAGCTTACAATCTATGAGTTGGAGGGAAATCTGAAATTATACGTCAAAAAGGAGAAAGGAGAGAGAGGAAACAATAACATCAATGACTGCTGCTTCATCTCTTTAAATGTTGCATCCGGATGTACTACGCTTTAAATGAGAATTAAATTGAAAATGAAAATGACATATATTCATTTAGGTTAAATGAGAATTAAAATGAAAATGAAAATGACTCTAATTCGTCCCAGATCATTAGGGTTGTAATGAATCGAATCGAACCGAATACTTAATAATATTATTCGTATTCGTATAATTATCGAATATTCGTATTCGTATTCGTATTCGTTTAAAATTCGAATCTTATTTTGTATTCGTATTCGATTCGTATATATTCGAATCTTTTTTGAATCGAATTCGAATATTCGAATTCAAAAAACATTAAAGTTAATTTTTGAAAATAATTAAAATTATGATGTTAGTTTGCCCCTTTTAACTAATTTTCATATTACATATTTTATAGAAAACAAAATTCATTTATAGAAGTCACTTCAAATTTAATATCAATATAGATAAATCAACGGAGAATTTTAATTGTAAATTAATCTATTTTGAACTCGTAAAGTAAGAATTTTTAAATTAAAATATGCAAAATATTTACATGAATATTTTTTTATTAATATTTTTACATTGAACTATATGTATTCATAAGAAGTAGTATATATTGTATGAATATATATATATATATATATATATATATATATATATATATAATTCGAATATATTCGAATATTATTCGAACAAATATCATAGTATTTGTATTCGTATTCGTAAAGTATTCGAATCAAAAAATAGATTTGTATTCGTATTCGTATTCGTATTCTACTTACTCGAATTCGAATCGACATTTTCGAATTTGAATCACGAATCGAATCAAAATTATTCGATTCGTTTACAACCCTACAGACCATACCAGACCAGATCAAAATAGACCTGACCAGACCAGACAAGACTAAAACAGACCAGACCAGACCATATTTTTATTATTATTATTATTATTATTATTATTATTATTATTATTAGGGGTGTGCATCGGTTCAAAACCGGACCGTACCGAACCGAATCGGATATCATTCTGGTTCGATCCGGTTCTGGTTTTTTCGGTCCGGTTTTCCGGTTTAAACCGGATAGGGCACGCCCCTAATTATTATTGATGGAGTATATGGCCCGGGAACCCCCGGCCCACAGACTCCTACTACTCCGGCGAAGGCCCAACAGGCCCAAATCACAGCGCCCAGAGTACCAAGCAGCCCGCACTACGCGTCAGGGGTGCCTTCGGCCCCCTGGCCGAAGGGTCTAAACTCTCACAGAACGGGTTTCTCAAGCAAACTAAGAAACTGGGAGAAAACGGCGAAAACAGTAGCCCTCGGTACTGTGAGCCCTCGGCACCAAGGTGCCCTCGGTTGGAGGAGCCTTCGGCTACTGCTCTGTAGCCGAAGGCATCTCACTCGACAAGATATCCGCCTCACATGCGTACAGATCACCGTACCCTGCACAGACGTCCCATCCAACAGCCGCATTAAATGCGGCCACATGCGGCTGCCAGCGCCAACCAGTTGAGGTGACCCCTCGGCCAATGAGCGCTTGACACGTGTCCCTGCCCGGCATTTATTGCTACTATAAATAGCACCCCATTTCCCCATTTGTAACCACGCTGAAAACGGCATTCATACTGAATACACTCTCTCTCTACTTTTACTTACTTGCTCTGACTTCTCTCTAAGTTATTCCCCGTAATAACCCTTCGGATATATACCCCCGGGTAGACTATCCATCATTTGGTGCTCTCGTTGAGAGTTTGAACAGAATCAAGTAAGAAACCCTCCCCCTCGATCAAACGCAAAACACTAGCCCCCCATCAAAATGGTGAGGACAACACGTGCCAACTCAAAGAACGTAGAAGACAAGAACCTGGCCCTCGGCGACGTCAACGCCCCCGAAGCCTCTCACAGGGCTCCCGAGGGTGGTGTCATCGCTGGGCTGGAACAGGCGGCTGTCGACCTACGCCTTCAGATCCAACAAAATGCCCCCGATGCCCGCCTCGGCATCGAGGCCAAGAAGAAAAACCGGAGCGATGACCAAGTCAGCCCTCCGGTTCTCACCATCGACGTGCAATCGGCGCTCTCCGCCTTCATCCAAACGCTCACCCAGAACCCGGGTGCCTTCGGCACCCTGGCTCCAGCTCACCCTCAGGTTGGGGAAAACATCATACTTCCCCCTCTGCCACACCCCTTCGGAAATCCCACCCCTCGGGTGAGGAACGACGAGGGGGTGGTGGCCCAAGATACGTCCTCCCAGGAAGTTCAGTCCCGGGACCGCCATAATGACAACAGGGAAAGGCCCCGTACTTCCGCCCTCAACCGGCTCGGAGGAGGGCCAGACCGCCGAGGGGTCCAAGACCGCCTCGGGGGGAAAGCACTCCAAAGGCCCCAGGAAAGCGGGGGATCTGTTTCGAGGGCAGACGAAGAGCGTCCCCCTCGAGACAAAGGCAAGGCACCCCTTCATGCCGATGATGCTCGGCACCAAATCAACCAGGCCCACTCGGCCCGGGTTCGTTCGCAGGGGGCGGAGACCCTCCCGAAGGATCCCCGGGACGAGATTATTGCGGCCCTCCAACGCCGGCTTGACGAGATGGAGTCCAACAAAGCTCACGCCACCACCTCCACCCCTCATTCAGATCTCAAATACGAGGCCATGATGGCCAAAATGGAGGAGTTACAGAAGAAGGTGGCCGAGGGCTCCGGAGAACCTGTCATCCAGCTCCGGACTCGGACGCCATTTACCCCAAGGGTATTGGCGGCCCGGATCCCGGAGAAATACCGAGGGCAACACATACAGCCCTACAACGGGAAAACGGACCCCCAGGAACATTACAGCAAGTACCAGAACAGCATGATGATGGTAGGGGCGTCGGATGAATATTTGTGTCGTTGGTTCCTCTCCACCTTAGAGGGGCCGGCATACGAATGGTTCAACAGGCTGCCCGAGGGCTGTATTGATTCGTGGCAAGAACTCGCCCAGCGATTCTTGACACAATTTGCCGGGAGGCGTCGCACGAGGAAGCACTTCTCCCACCTCCTAACAATACGCCAGAAGAAGGATGAGACCCTCCGGGATTTCCTAGAGCGCTGGAGGACGGAGGCCGACAAGGTCGACGGTGCTGATGACGGGACCCTCCTGGCCCTCCTACAAACCGTCCTCCGCACCGGCAACTTTTCAAGGAGCCTCATCATTGAACCCCCCCGCGACTACATAAGGGCTTTGCAGCGGGGGGACCGATATGCTGAGGCCGAGGAGGTGGAGAAGTATCACCAGCATCCAGACCAGCAGCCCCCGAGGGCTGACAACAAGCATAACCGAGGGCCGGGGGCTCCTCCAAATCACCCCAAGGCTTCGGGACCCTCTGATGACCGCCCTCGGCAAGGCCAAGCCAAGCCCGGGGGAGGTTATAAGAGCAACCCTAAGACTTGGGCCCAGCCCATTCTCCTGGACCGCCCTCGGACACCATTGACGCACCCCGTCAGCATCATCCTCGATTTTGCCGAGGAGAGGGGCCTTGTTGAGCGCGACTCTCGCGCACCCCCGGAGGTACATGCTATCAACCCTCAGTTCCCATATTGTCGCTTCCATCGGCACCAGGGGCACAGGACCGATGACTGCCATCAGCTAAAGACGGCCATCGAGAGGTTAATACAAGCGGGGCACCTGTCCCAATTTGTTCAGAGCCCTCGGCAGGAGGGACCTTCTCATCAGGGGCCTCCCCGAGGGCACCACACGAAGGTGAACGCTTGGGTAAACCCGAATACCATCCCCCTCGGCAAGAAGAGGGAGATTGGGAACTTGGAAGAAGAGGAGGAGGAATACCCCCACTACCAGGAGAAAAAACGCCACATCCTCATCATCACCGGTGGCAATACAGGGGGCGATTCCACCAGCCAGCGAAAGAAGTGGGCTCAATCGCTTTACGTGGGGGAAGTCACTCATATGCCCCCGGTAAAGAGACTGAGGGAGGAACCCATCACCTTCACCAACGCAGATCTCCCTCCTACTTCTTCTCCTCACAGGGATGCCTTGGTGATTCGGGCGGAGATAAACGACACCATTATTCACCGAACTTACATTGACACGGGCAGCTCCGTCAATGTAATGTACCTCAGCACCTTCAGAGAGCTGCATCTGGAGAGGGGGTCCCTTCGGCCCATTAAGACCCCTCTTGCCGGCTTCACCGGCGACACTATTGATTCCGAGGGGGTAATAACCCTCCCGATGATCTTCGGCGACGGGCTCCATAGAGCCCAGCTCGAGGTGGAGTTTGTCGTCGTCAACATTGACTGCGCCCACAACATCATCCTCGGCCGGCCAGCCCTCGAGGACCTCGAAGCCATCATCTCCATGAGGCATCTCTGCCTCAAGTTTCCCGCCGAGGGGGGAATTGGCTACTCCCGGGGGAACCAGAAAATTGCTCGCGCCTGCTATCTTCAGGTCACTAAGAAGGTAAGCAAGACGGAATTCCGTGTTGACACCATCACCAGAACCATCGACCAAGAGGAAAGGAGGCCGAGGGCTGAACCGGCCGAGGACGTAGAAGACTTTGCGCTCGATCCGGCCCAGCCGGAGAGAGTCGTGAAGATTGGAGCCCAGCTCCCTGAAGATTTGAAGACCGGTATCACCGACGCCCTCCGCGCCTACTCCACTGTCTTTGCATGGGGGCCGGAGGACATGTCGGGAATCAGCCGAAGGGTCATCACCCACCGCCTCTCGGTGGACCCTTCGGCAAAGGCAGTGCAGCAACGAAGAAGACCCCTCTCCGCCGAGAGGAGGGAATTCGTGAAGAAGGAGGTCGCCATGCTCCTCTCAATCAAGCACATCAAGGAGGTGAAATACCCCTCATGGCTAGCAAATGTAGTCCTCGCACAGAAGCCCCTTACCTTCCGCATGTGCGTGGACTACACCGATCTCAACAAAGCGTGCCCTATGGATCCATTCCCTCTACCAAACATTGATCAACTGGTGGATGAGACCGCAGGGTGTGAGATCATGTCCTTCCTCGATGCCTTCCGAGGGTATCACCAAATTTTCATGCACGAGGAAGACGCCGAAAAAACTGCCTTCATGACTCCCG